TCAGAGACATTTTTTGGATTTTTTTTTTATATAAATTCAATATAACTGAGCATAATTTATGACAGAAGCGATAAAATGATATACGTATTCAGATATCGTTAGATTTTTTCAAGACACTTAGCAGGTTGTATTTAGCGGTTGGCAGCTAGTATTAGCACTGCTAGTACGGCTAGTATTGGTTACGTGCGCCCATCGGTACGAATATGACAACAGACTAAGGTGACCACAAATTGAGGCGACTGGCTCAACCACCAGACAGTCGATTGTGACCAGTTTGGTGGCTGACGATGCCGATTCGAATCGTAAATAACCGTCAAGTATTAACTAATACGACTAGTTTTAGTAACTGTATTAGTTCAGCTAGTAATGGTACAAGTGCTGCTGCTACTACTACTAAAAACTTTACCACTACACTACTACTACTACTTCTATTTCTACTTCTACTACTTCTGCTACTACTACTACTACTACTACTACTACTACTACTACTACTACTACTACTATTTAATACTAGTAGTGATAATAGTACTAGTGCTTGTATTAGTACTTATATAATTTAATTCCGTCCAATCTACAACCACTAGACACGCCCCTCTCTTCTATATCTACAAAACTCGCCTCAAATTAATGCAGACAAGCATAAAAATAACAGGTCCTAAAATTTGGACAGAACTTGTACCTCTCTATCTAAGAGCCATCATAAACCTACAACATTTCAAGTCAAAATTCCGTGCTTTTTTATTGACACTGGATCTCGACTCCACCACCTAATACTACATTAAGAATACGTTAGAACAAATGATGCGGATGAATGGTCTTTATGAATGGTTAAACATTTATGTGATTATATATGTACTGAGCGAACATAGTTTTATGTCTATATATGTATGACACGAACATTTACTTATTTATCTTCAATTATCTTTCTGCTTCAGTTATTTTCCTTATTTTATTTCATTAACTATTCATGTATCTACCTGCAGTGGCCACCACAAGACAAACAGTCTTATTCGGTCTCCGCATATTCAACTTCATAACTTTTATTCACTTATTTGATATGTTGTTGATTATGAATAAAACTTTGAAAATGAAATAATGGCTTGGACGTTGTTAGTTGTGGTTGGATATGTACGAGCAGGCTGGCAATAGATAGGTTAACCCCAATAAAAAATGTTCATTAGAGGTATGTATTCAGTATTAATTAGATCTCTTTCTCTCTCTCTTTCTCTCTTTCTTTCTCTTTATTTTTCTCTCTATTTCTGATCTGAGTGGATAATTGTACGTATAAATCATTTTTTTTGTGGTTCGTTGTTGTTGTAGTTCTTTGGTTTCTTTAACGTCATTTGTAATATTGGTCTTGTTTTTATTTATTTTTTTATTTTTATTGGAGTTTTAGAAAAATTATAGTGAAGAAGTTGTAATTATCAATGACCATAAAAGATGGTGTTGTTTTTAATTGTTGATGCGAAGATGATGACGTCATTCTTGATGCTTCTGCTATTGTTGACAACATTTTTGGAGGAAGTTCAAATAAATTATAAATGAAAATATTTCATAAAAAAATAAATTACACACCTCCATCACTCTTACATTTGTAAGAGGAAGCTAAATAAAATCGTTGAAAATGCCGGGAACAGAAAAGCGCGCTTAATAATATATGCCTGCTTGTAAAATGCACGCAAGAGAATTTGCTTGATTGTCTGCTTGCTTATGCCTCATGTGAATGTTTAAATGAATTTTTGTTTATGTGGCGTTTAACTTCCTGTTTATGTACATTTATGTAGCGTTTAATTTGTTGTTTAGATGTGTTTTATAGTGTTTAATTTTTTTATGTATATTTGTCTAGAGTTTAATATGTGCTTCTGCAAACTATAAATATTTACTGTGTTGTTTTTCCTACGTTTGGTTTGCTTAATTTAATTTTTTGTTTATTTAATTAAAATTAATATTTTGCTTAATTTAATTGTATTTTATTGCACGAAAGTTATTGCACTGTATACGCATTTTATTGTTTGAGGTCTTTGTTTGATTTCTATTTAATTTTATACATCCAACATAACGGGTTTTTTTCTACAATGTTTTTATGACACAAACATGTAAACAGTTCAGAGCGTTGAATAAGTAGTATGGTGATAAGATACCATGGAATGATACAAACAACGAAGAATACGATATAATAAGATATGATATGATATAATATGATACGGTATGATACGATACGATAAAGTATGGTATTATATGATATGATATAATATGATATGACATGATACTATGTGATATGGTATTATAGGATATGATATATGATATTATATGATACGAAACGATAAGATACGATATGATAAAATGTATGATTTAATGGAGTTCAGTGTAAAGTGCATCAGTGCCTTCGCTAAATAGTTACAAACATTTACTATCGTCAAAAAAAATTTGTCCTTATCTATACTGCAACTGACAACAATGTTGATGGTATGATTAAAGTTAGTGTTGTCGTTTGTTACTGTTTGTTGTTGTTATTAATTTCATTACTGATGTTGTTATTGTTGATGTTATTGTTAAGGTTATTGTTGCTATTATTGATGTTATTGTTATTATTATTGATGTCATTACTGTCATTGTTTACAAAAAAGAATCAGTCATTCATACTGTTGGTAAGGAAATGGATATAGATAGATAGATAGACAGACAGACAGATAGACGGACAAACAGACAGACAGATAGACGGACAAACAGACAGACAGACAGACAGACAGACAGATAGATAGATAGAAAAATGTTGTTTACTTGCACCGGCGGTTGCTAATATGGCTACCTTCCATTGAAACAACCAGTCAGACACACACTGACACATACATACACTTACACATATACGCTCTCTTTCTCTCTCTTTCTCTTTCTCTCACACACACACACACACATCTACACGACTGTAGTTGCGTCTTTTAGCATTGAAGAAGAGTTCTGCATAAATTCACCGAATAATTATGCACACATACACAAGCACCTTGATATTTGCATGCATTGTGTAAAAAACTTTCTATGTATCATGATAGATACAAACAATACATTGATTCATTGTTGACATATACATGAAAAGCTTTTATTGATATAACTGGTTAGTTCATTTGTTTTTGTGCTAAATACGTTTTGTTCTTTTACTTTTCCATTCCGTCCTTGTCTTTTTCCATTTTTTATTTCTGTCTCTCTCTTTTTGTTTCTCTCTCTCTCTCTCTCTCTCTCTCTCTCTCTCTCTATGTTTATTGTTAGCGTATGTCAAATTTGAAAAGCACTCATTGCACTGCAGTTTATTTTTGTGATTGCAGATTAACTCGGTCCTCGTTTTGTATCCTCGTTGTTGATATTGTTGATGTTGTTGTTAATGTTGCTGTTATTGTTGTTGATGTTCCTGTTGTTTTCCCTGTAATTTTTGTTTGTGTGTGTGCGTGTCTCTATGTGTATGGTGTATATGTGTGTCTATTCTATGTTTTATGAAGAAGCAACTCTCACCATCACATAACCATTATAATTATAGTGTGATTTGGAATTTTTTGGGGGATATAGCTTTTTGATAAATTTGTTTATCCTTTGGTCGTATTTTTTATAATGATAATGATAATGGGAACATCCTTTTATTTTCTAACTCCAAATACCAAATATTAATAATGAAATAATTATAAAATCCTATTTAATCTAAAATGCTCGTCACTGCAAGTGAGTACATTTTAGAGGGGCTGGTCAACAATTCACAATACATACATTTTCTAACACAAAAGCGTACAGAGCCAGGAATGGCCATTTTAACAAAAGCTTAACGTTTGTTGCTGTATATATTGATATCAGTTATTTTTTAAATAATTTGAAATTAAATGTTAAAATTAAATTAAAATATTAATTCCAAACCAATGGCAGCCAAATTCAAAACCTTTATTCAATTAATTGCCACAATCATTTTGGACCTATTTTTAACCAGTTAAAACCTAATAAACTATGGTTATGCCATCTAGCAGTAAGTTGGACGTTAATAATGATGATGATGATAATAATAATAATAATAATAACAATAATAATAATAACACCAACACAAAAAAAATAACATTATATACTTTTTTAAAACATAATTACAGCAATGGGATATGTTCAATTGCTTTCGATAAAAAATAAATAATTGGCATTTTATTTTTATGGAGCCAGCTGATATTCACAATTTGTTGTACCAAGTGGCTCTCTCTCTCTCTCTCTCTCTCTCACGCACACACACACACACACCACACACGCACACACACACACACAAACAAACATCGTTATATCGTTAATTAAATTAAAATGATATTACATTATAAAATTAATGTATCCAATAGACACTTATAGATGTGATGCATCAGCGTTCATTTCAAAGGGTAGTTTCTCATTTAATTTCACAGTGCAGAAAAATTAGCGTCAGTAAAAATGGGATTCTTTTAGCAACAATTTTTTTTGTTGGTATAGGTATATTCAACAATACATACCTATACGTGGATATATGTGTATGTGTGTGTATGTATGTATGTGTGTGTGTGCGTGTGTGGTGTGCGTGTGTGGTGTGTGTGTGTGCGTGTGTGTGTGTGTGTACGTCTTAGACTTCATGACGTGATATTACAAAAAAGGTGCCTATACATTATTAATATTAAGTGTTTTATGTTTTTATGCACGCTAATGATGATTGACTGCCTATTACAAAGTAAAAATTGTTAGCAGTTAAGTATAAATTATATTTAATTAATGACATTTTATGATTGTATGATGCTATTCGATAAGTTACCTGTTGTTATTTTGGTTGGTTTTTGGAAAATATTTTTGGGGAAATACTTTTATGTTGTTATTATTAAAGTTTGTTTGATTTTTTTGTTATATTAGTAATGAATTGTTAATAATAATAATGTTTGCTATTATTAATAATAACAATAATAAAAATTATAAAATTTATTTAATTAATTTAGAAATAAAATAAAAGGGACATTTCACGGATGGACTTAATGCAGGGCAGCTTCATAAGCGGACTTCTGATCGCCCGATTTAAAAATCAACTCATTGAAATGAAGACAACAGTTGAAAGGCTGTTGATTGATGACAGAGTATCATCGATAACAACCAATGATCTCAATCATTCTCAAAACAAAAACCCATCTGCCAATCTAGATAACGACAAGTCGATTGCAAATTTTCTCAGATGTTTTTATTCGTCAGTCCAGGAAATGTTACAAATCCTACATAACGCTTCGATAAGCGATAAGAAGGACGAAATGGCACTCAGTGGCACGAATGCTGACGATTCATTAATTGAGAAAGATAACGCCAAGTGCTCTTCTCAGAACTCATCATCCACCAATTCAACTGTAATTGTTCGAACGCTAACGTATAAAACGTCGAGTGTACAACCGACGCAGACAGATTTAAAAAAGTTTATTCTGAAGAAGAAAAATTCTTTTTCAGAATTATCCAACAGCACACCGACACCAACCAGGACCAAACGATTCATCACGACCGCAGTCACAGGCGTTGAAATCGCAGCTGCTTACCAAGCGCTGGCCGCCGCAACGTTCAGAGCCAGTGGCGTCTGGAATTTTGGGCCTGAGAAAAAATCAAAGCACTTATCGTTTGTAAGTAGAGGAACATCAACACCGAGGCATAGAAATGTTCATGCAGGAAGGGGAAGTTTGGGCAGTCAACAGTTCAGCGAGTCGTCTTTCGAATTGACACTGCCAAACGATATTTTATCCAGGCTTTCTGCAAGCACCAACAACACATCTCAACAACAACATCTGCAACAACATCAGTCGCAACACGAAATGACGCAGTCCATGCCTTCCTTATCAAACGTGGAAGCAACATGCCCTCATCAGCATCCTCCTCCTCCTCCTCTTCTTCATCATCGTCATCAATCTTCTTCCTCATCATACCATGAAGAAGTTGTACGTAATTTAGACAACAAAAGCAACAGCAGCAGCAACAAAAGCATCACCACAAAGGACGCCTGCACGTCGCCACACTCGGCGTTCAAGATCGACAAAGCAGTGCAGGTGAGGCAGGGCGAAATAATGGAACCCGTCGACAAAATATTCACAGCCAAGAGCGCCAGCAAGTTAACCAAACGATCTCCTCTGGCGAAATGTAATTTGCAAAAAATAATCGAGGAAGAGAACGACCATGAGAGCGATGAGCACGTCAACAATGAAGGAAGCGAAAACTCGAACGACAGCCACAACGACGACAAACCAGACGACGATACAGACGTCGACGCCAGCGCCTTTTCTAAAAAGAATTCCTTACGAGGCAGACGCCACGTCGGTCAATCACTCAGTTTCGAAAATCGTCGTAGACTCACCGCCAACTCTTGCAAACGTTTGAACTTCACAAACAATAATAACGATGATAACAATAATAACAACTTAATCAGGACACTGAACGATAGGACTACACCAAATAATAAAAATAATGATAATTTGTCGATTTTAAGCTCCAAGTTGGATTTGAAATGTTCCAGCAGACAGGACAGTCCCTTTCCTATCTGCAAAACTTTCGATTTTGTCTCGTTCGACGACTGATTTTTTTATGAACCTTCAAATATTAAATAAATAAGTTAAGAGTTAAATAATAAATATATCAATAAATAAATATACAAAAAAAATAATGGCGTTTCAGAACGGTTGAATCTAACAAATAACTCGGTAAAAAAACAGAAGATGGCTACACAGGGTGGACCTGACATTTTGTTACTCACATGAAATTACTCTGCACTCCTCCAAGACCAACGTAATTGTTTAATAGCTCGTTCACAGTGTAAGCGTCGACGACGTATGAAAAAAGCATTAAAAACTCTTTCGGTGTCGAGTTGTTATACAATTAAAACTTTCTTCAGATTAATATTTTATATCTTGAAAAATTTTCAAATATTTATTATTGATGTCTGATGATGATTTTTTACGTTTTTACGTAAGGCACTTGTAAACTGTCTACCACTTAATGACTTCCCATTCAAAACAGGTTGAACGAAAATTTTTACAACACACGCACACACACACACACACGCACACACACACACACACACACACACACACACACCTTCTCAATATTATTTTAATGATGGTTTTCTATCTTTATTTCATAGTTTACAATGGCGAATTAAACCTTAAAACATGTATTATTTCATTAAGCGACTGTGATATAGGTACATTTAAAACGATTACTAAGTAAATATTTTTTTAAAAACAAGTAAATGCATTTAATGGAGGATTTTTTTTTTCAATTTTCGAATCGATAAACTTGAAATTTCCAAGCCGAAAGCAAAACTTAATCATATCTTTAGTTGGAAACAAATGATAAAAACTGGCGAAATAGTGAATTGGAAACTTAATTAAATAATATTAGCTAACAGTAACAAAACAACAACAACAAAACAACAAGCTAACAACAACTTAATGTACATTATTATTCTCTTAATTTACGAATAAAAACAACAGCAAAACGATAGTAAAAAGAGAAGAAAACATAAACATGCAAACATTCATAAAATGTGAAAGCTTAATAAATGTACATCATCCTTCAAAGTTAACCAACTTTTGGAATGCAAAAAACAAAAAATACTAATACAACTTGCGCTAAGACTACGACTTCTACTACTTCGCCACTACTACTATTATTACTACTACTGCTACTACATTTACTGCTACTACTACTACTAAAATTAACAATAATGAAACAAACAAATAAGTAACTTTGAAAAGGAAAGTGATAAGGCAAAATTTTAAAAAACAGCGCCAATCCATGCATGCAATGATTTTAAATTTTAATCAATTTGGAAAAAAATCGTTTTCAAAATTTTTAAACACACACACACCACACACACAGGCAAACAAATACACACAGGCAAACACACGCACAAGCACATAAACGCACCTTAGCACGCACAAAAAAGTTCGATAAAAACAAGAGTCTAATCCAAAATTGCGGAAATTAAAAATTATTTTGATAGCTACATACAAGTAAATAAATACATACATACTTACATGGATGCTTACGTACATACATACAAACACACATGCTTATATACATACATACAAACAAACATACACACACATACATACATATATATATATATATATATATATATATATATATATATACTATTTATATACATACTATTTATATACATACTGAGCACGTGACTAACTAGAGCAAACATCATCATCCTCTTCATCAACATCTTATCATCGTGTGTGATTCGATGCGTTTTTAGTCACATTCCTCAAATCAAGATTTAAAATGATGACCATTCGTGCATTTTTAACGCCAACTTGATCAAACAATAAAGAACTTTTGAAAGTGACAGTTCAACATACGAAACAGATTTTATTGTTAATTATATTATAAATATTATTGTCATTATTATTACATTCATTTATATAGCCATTTCCAATGAAAAACAGTCTCAAAAGTGTTTCAAAACACGTATATAGATACAGATACGCTTACATATGTCTGATTTTACAACTATAGCAGATTAAAAACTCAAAATTGTTATCTTAGATAAAAATGACACGGACAACAAAAAAATGTTCTATCTTGAAATTATAAGCCAGAACGATTAACAATAATGTGACTTAATAATAACAACAACAACAATAATAAAAATAATATTATTGTTATTATATATTTGATTGTACGGTGAACTAGATTATGTGAATGTAACATAGAAGTATGAGATGTGAGAGATTGTGGGTCATACAGGGGTGTGAAATTGCTAGAGCACGGAATGAAGGTAGTGGAGAGGGTGCTTGAGAGGAGGTTGAGAAATATGGTGACAGTTAATGAAATGCAGTGTGGGTTTATGCCTGGTAGGGGAACGGTGGATGCGTTGTTCATGGTGAGAATGTTGCAGGAAAATTATAGAAAGAAGAAACGAAGATTGTACATGTGTTTTGTGGATCTAGAAAAGGCTTTTGATCGAGTACCGAGGAAGATCATTGAATGGGCGTTGAGGAAGAAAGGAGTGAATGAGAGACTTGTTAAAGCTGTGATGCAGCTGTATGAAGGGACAAAGACAAAGGTGAGAGTTGGAAGGGGGATGTCGGACGCTTTTAGTGTTAAGGTAGGAGTGCATCAAGGATCAGTGTTATCACCGTTTCTGTTTGCAATTGTGATGGATGTTGTGTGTGGAAACATAATGGAGGGGTTGTTATTTGAGATTTTGTATGCAGATGATTTAGTCTTGATGGCTGATAGCATTGAAGAATTGCAGTTAAAATTTGACAGATGTAAAAGCGTTATTGAAAAGAAAGGGTTAAAAGTTAATATTGGTAAGACGAAGGTAATGGTGAGTGGGGAAGGTGGGGAGCGAGTGATAAGTAAAATAGAATCCTGTGGGGTATGTGACAGGAGAGTGAAGACTAACTCGGTATTGTGTATAGGATGTCAGAAATGGGTGCATAAGAGATGTAGTGGTGTGAGGGGGGCACTGAAAAAGGTGGAAGGCACGTTCAAATGTAAGAAATGTGTTCATGGTGTGATTAATAGGACGGACGCAAGGACAGGGTTGAGTGGTGGTATTGAAAGAGTGGAAAGCTTTGTTTACTTAGGGGATAAGCTGAATGCGGATGGAGGATGTTTGAGCGCAGTTACGGCTAGAGTTCGTGTGGGATGGATGAAATTTAGGGAACTGGATGGGATATTGTGTGGAAAGAAATGGTCAGTGAAGATGAAAGGGAGGGTATATAAAGCATGTGTGAGAGCAGCGATGGTATATGGTGGTGAAACTTGGGTGTTGAGGAGAGAGGAGGAAAGTGTACTGCAGAGGGCTGAAAGAGCTATGGTGAGGATGATGTGTGGGGTTAAAGTGAAGGATAGGAGGAGTAGTACAGAGCTGATGTCAATGATGGGACTGAATAAGGACATTGTGACATTGATAAGGAGATCGAGATTGCGATGGTATGGACATGTGTTGAGAAGGGATGAAAGGGTAGGGATTAGGCGAGCGTTGGAGTTCGAAGTTGAAGGAGTGGTAGGAAGGGGTCGTCCGCGATTGGGATGGAGAGAGCAGGTGGAGAAGGACAGGGTGAAAGCGGGGTTGCGTGATACTGAGGCGAGTGACAGATGTGGATGGCGTCGAGGGGTATTTCGGTTTCATCATAGGTAGCCAAACGTGTGTTGTTGTTGTTGTAACATAGAAGTATTAAAGATATAGAAATTACATTATTTTATACCTACAGTAATACATTTAAAAGTAAGGAGTATTAAAATTAAATATAAATGCATAGAAAATTAAGTAGTAAAACAATGAATTAATGATTAAAAATAAGCAATGGATAGATTTTAAGATACGAAATATAAATATTAATGATATTAAACACACACACACACACATACGAGTGTGTGTGTGTGTCAGTGTGTATGTGTGTCATTGTTTGTATGTGTGTGTTTGTGTGTGTGTTGTCTGTGTGTGTGTGGGTTGTTCATGAAAACAACGACGATTTACATTTGATGGCTATTCGGTTTACCAGAGAGGTGCTAGAAAAAAATAGGATAGGATAGAATGAGAGAGAGAGAAAGAGAGAGAAAGAGAAAATGAAGGAGGAGTTGGAGAAAGAGAGAGAGAAAAAAATGAAAAATATAGGAGAATAGAGTTTAAAGTTTTTAAAATTATGTATGATTTTCAAAAACGGTGAAATAAAATAGCACGAATGAAAAAAAGTACTTGAGAGAGAGAGAGAGAGAGAGAGAGAGAGAGAGAGAGAGAGAGAGACAGAAAGACAGAGAGGGGAGAGAGAGAGACAGAGAGGGGAGAGACAGAGATAAAATAACTTACGAATAAAACACTATATATAACACCATATAACACTACATATAAAATATTGAATTCATTTTATTCACACTACCAGAAAATCACTACACATAAAGAGATAGATATAGGATTAGTCTATAGCTACATATCTGGAAAGAAACATTACAAAGGTACCGTTAACTAATCAATCCTTCAGCAATTTCTGCCGTGTTTATAAACAGCTTTGTAAGTTCAGGGAACCAATGAATCGAGATATATTTATATATTTTGTAAAATTTAAAAGTGAATAATAAAACTATTTGTATTCTGTCAAATGAAAAAATACAATAGTAACAACAGATAACATAAAATAACATAAATGCACGTATAAACAAGAGCTTGAATTGTAACAATAGTAACTTTAGTAAAGTTTAAATGTAATAGGTTGATCAACAATAGGATAATAAAACCATAACAACAACAATAATAATAATAAATTGAAATTATTATAAAAGAACAAGAACTTAGATCTAAAGTAAATGAATTAATGAACAAAAATGTAAAAGCAGGTTGAAAAACAAATTGAAGTTAATATTCAAATGTAAAATATCTTAACGCAAACAATAAAGTTGCGTGTTGTGTGTGTGTTTGTTTGTGTGTATGTACGTATTGATTAATCAAGAAAATAATTAAACGCATACAACTGGACAACTGTGCATACATACGTACATACATATACATACCCACATGCAATCCCAAAAAATTGATTGATAGATAGATACATGTATGTTTATGTTTAACAATGTACGCGTACAATGTGTATGCGTACGCATAAGTTGTACAACAATTGTACACTCATTCAATGAGTTTGTGCACTTTCTTTAGGTCATTTCTTTTCCACAAAGGCAATTGGTTGAACATCTGTCGATTCATTCCAAATAACTCTTCAAAGTCTTTTTCATTCAAGTAGTTCTTTGGAGAGAAAAATTTGTTTATTCATTAATTCATTCATTCATTTACTCACCCATTCATTCATTCATTCACTATCCCATCGCCATTTTTAATTTGTTTAGAAGTGTCATGTTTAACATGATAATGAGTGATCCCTGGTCTGAAGGCTAGCGCATGGCATCAATTCTTATGTGAATTAAATGCTGAATGAATGAATGAATGAGTGAATGAATGAATGAATGAATTTGAGAAAATTACCTCGATGTTATCACAAGTGATGAATGATTTGTGTTTCTGCTTCATCATTCCCTTCAAATCTTCAAGTGGGTATGTGATCTGTGAACAAGTGAACTAATAAATAAATGAAAAGTTAAACAAATCAATAAACGGTCAGTCGGTCAGTGAGCCAGCCAGCCAGCCAATCATTCATTTATTCGTAATTTATTAATTAATTAATTCATTCATCTACTCCGTCATTCGTTCATTCTCTCAGTCAGAAAATAGAGCAGTGAATCAAAATAAAAAAAATCAACCAAAGACTCACATTCGATTTCGAACTCTTATCTCTTTTACCATAGGAGGTCGTTGAGTATCCTCCATCCTTGTTGATCTTCCTCAAAAAGTCCTTGACATCGATTGACCTTCGACCTTCGACCACCTCTCTCAAGGACATCGACCTGTTCAAGTGTGTGTCCATTGAGACAAATAATCTGTTTGGTGGTTTCTGTAGAAAAAATAAAATGAACATAAATATTTAGCAGGGCTAACACGTTTGTAATGCTTTCATCAGTAGTAGAAAGTACCTTTAGACCAGTGTAAAAGTCCCAGTCCGAATTATCTTCCCCGGAAACTTGTAGTGGCAAAAAATGGTAATGTTGTAAAAAAAATGGAACCAATCACCATCACCATCCTCATCATCGTCATCATCATTATTATTACTATCATCATCAACACCACATCATCATCATCATCATGTACGTATAAATTATTTAATTAAGTAATAATAAAAATTATTATTATGATTATAACTATAATTATTGCGAAAAGTAATTAGACATACAGAAGGAATGATGGCCCAGAGACATATTGTCCATAGTCCTATGAAGATCGTCTGCTTGTAAGGACTCTGACATCACTGACGCTGGCTAAAAATAGAACATAAATAACAAAAACAACAACAATAATAATAACAATAATAACAACAATAATAATATTATACTATAATATCCAAAACATTGACGATAAAATTAATCAAAAAGTTAAATAACTTTTAACAAGTTGTACAGTGCCTATGTGCATAAAATAAGTATTGTAAATATAATTTAATGAAAGTATCTACACATAAAGCATTAATTATAACATATGAATAAATTGATCATAAAATATAGAATAATATACAAACATAATTAATATAATATAATAATAATTATTATAAATCATTAATTATGACCTTTGGTGTAGCTGGATTACTGTGGAAGGCATATATAACTGGCTTCAAACCATAGCCTGGCTTAAGAGCTGAAGGGTGAAATAATAATAATAACATTATTATTATTATTGTAATAAAATAATATTAATTATAAAAATAATTATCATTATTATTACTAATATTAACCAGACATAGTGGTAATATGATCGTACAGTTATTTTAAAAATATAAATGTTTTGAGTGTTTCTGTACCAATGTTGCATGTATAAATATTCCAAGGAAAGGCCTTCATTGAAGATAGATTTGCAAACGAAATAGTAACTAAATAACTCCACAATAACAATAAATAACAATAATAATGAAAACAATAACAACATCAATAACGAAAAACAACAAGAAAGTATACACATGCATTCTTATAAAAACGCTTTCATGACTCATTATTTTATCTATTTATTAATTTGTAAAGTAAAAATTGCACACACACACACAAACACACACACCACACACATATTCGGTTTTACGTTTTCGCAAGGGCTGGCAGATTTTATAAGCTCTTGATTTTTTTTTAGATATTTCTGTAATTTGAACTATTTTTATAATGTTTTCTATTCAGTTTTCATATTTCGTTTATTTTATCTTTATATATTCAAAGTTTTTATTATATCTTTTTTATTATTTAAACATTTTTCCGTTCAATTTGCACTTGTTTCACCGGTGCGGAGGTTGGTTTCACTAAGTTAAATATTTAATCCAATTTTTTTTTATTACATACTCTCATTGTTTTATTAATTTTTTTTATTGTACTCTTTTAATATATTGTTTTTTAACTTTGAAAAACTTAAAATAATTAAAATAATTTTTTTTTCAACATACTAATATTGAATTATTTATATACATACATAGGTACATACATATATTATATATATAGATAGGTAGATTTTTAAAACACAATATTTTCGTGCGAGACATACGCGCCTGGTTTTAGTGATTGTTAACATTGTTACACCTTCATTTCCATTGTGTTTTTATAAGTTCTTTAGTTGACTGTATTCACATTTTCATACATTAATTTCAAGTTGACAAAGGTCTACACATGTGTTTTTAATAGGCCCACAGTTGGTTGCATTTACAATTTTATTCATTTATATCCAGTTGTCCACACTCGTGTCTTTTTAAGTCCAATATTCGTCTTTTTCCACAATAGCCACTGTCATTTGGACAGCCTTTTTATTCACTTTCGATAGCCGGTCTTACCTTGTAATAGTTTCATACATCAATCCCAGTAACTTCAGCAATATAAAAGCGCATTTATTAGTATCAACACCCAATTTTTCTAAATTTGGCGACAAATCACAATAGAATTTATAAATTGATAAAATAATTTAATCCTATAATCAAACAAAATCACTCATTGTAATAGTTCAATAAATATAAAAGCGCATTAATTAGTATCAACACCCAATTTTTCTAAATTTGGCGACAAATCACAATAGAATTTATAAATTGATAAAATAATTTAATCCTATAATCAAACAAAATCACTCATTGTAATAGTTCAATAAATATAAAAGCGCAGTTATTAATATCAACACCCCAATTTTCTAAATTTGGCCACAAATCACAACAAAATTTATAAATTGTTAAAATAATTTAATCCTATAATCAAACAAAATCACTCATTGTAAAAATTCAATAAATATAAAAGCGCAGTTATTAATATTAACACCCCAATTTTCTAAATTTGGCCACAAATCACAACAAAATTTATAAATTGATAAAATAATTTAATCCTATAATCAAACAAAATCACTCATTGTAATAATTCAATAAATTAATATATGTCAAGTCAAGATTCGTCGTTCAAATCATCCTGCCCTACTCTGACTCCTCAGCATTTGAGGGATCTAACTCATGAAAAATTAGAAACCACGGAGCTTGTCAATGCCGCTACCAGTTTCATCAATCTGCTTTTAAGTGGTGTCTGTTCTCCTGGAGTTGTCCCATATCTGTTCGCTGAAAGATTGTTGGCGTGGTCCAAAAAGGATGGTGGGATCAGACAGATTGCCGTGGGGTGTGTGTGGAGGCGCTGGGCAGCAAAATGCGCCTTGTTAACTATAAAGAAAAAGGTAGCTCCAATTCTTCGACCCCAGCAAGTTGGTGTTGGTGTTAGCGGAGGAGCAGAGGGAGCAATACATGTTTTGTGGGCAACATGGGAGAGAATGAGGGCTTTCTAAAACTTGATTTTTCCAACGCCTTCAATTCCCTCCGTCGCGATCACATGCTCAATTGTGTAAAGTCGGCCTACAATGCCAATTCATTTCTTTCTTTTGACAATAGCACGATCTTGTCGGCAGAGGGTGTGCAACAGGGAGACCCTTTGGGCCCATTGCTTTTTTTCTCTGTCTATCGACCCCTTAATAAAATCTCTCCGTTCAAAATTTGTTGTCGCATATCTAGATGATATCGCTCTTGGAGGTTGTATGGAGGTTTTGAGCGACGACATTGACTTAATTAGTAATAGTTGCCATCAATATGGGCTTAAGCTCAACATCAACAAATGCGAAATTATCACTATTTCCACTTCACTTACAAATTTTTTACAAAGCATTAATAAAACTGAATTAATTGATCGCCAATTTTTAGGGGCCGTCATTTTTAGGGGTAAATGTCATGACGACTTTTGGGTCAAAAAATTAGATGAATTCAAATATGTTTTATCGATGATGGTGCACATTAGTAAGCATGATGCCCTCATACTTTTGACCCAAGCTGCGTTTATCCCGAAGCTATCATATTTTTTGAGAACTTCTCCTAGTCCGTCAAAACAAATTCGGATAGTC